GCTTGATAGTATTGGTTGATGTTGACATGGTGCTTGATAGTATTGCTGTTGATGATGTTGACATGGTGCTTGATAGTATTGCTGTTGATGATGTTGACATGGTGCTTGATAGTATTGGTTGATGGCGGTGGACAGCCAGGACGAGGCTGCCGCACCGCACTAGGTTTTCAGGTTCTGAATGGCGGGCGCATCCCGTTGGTGCCAGACGCGAGCCGCGAGCGCACCCCGTTGTCAGGTCCGTAAATCCTCAGAACAGGCCGCGGGGCAACAACTCAGGGGTGGCGGGGGTAGAGGCGAGGCCACGCAATCCAACCGAAAAGGCCCAGACTAGAGGTTTGAACGCGGGCGCCTGAAGACGCTCGCGCGCCTCGGAGGGTTGGATCCCCTGCTCGGCTATAGACGAGACTTTTTACTAGTTTCTTCGTTGAGAAAAAGGTACCATTGGAAAAGCTGGTGTCGGTGACAACAGACGGGGCTCCCGCGATGACGGGCCGGCATGCAGGCTTCATTGCGCAATGCAAAGGTGACCCAGACTTCGCAACATTTCTACATTACCACTGCATCATTCACCAGCAGGCAATATGTGCAAAAGTAACCGGCTTTGATCATGTGATGATACAAAAATATCAGAGATGTGATACCTCTGACTTTCAAATGTTGAAACAGATTAACAGAAATAAAAGTTGCATGTTTGTAGCTATACCATCATTGTTGTGGAAATCATTCTTAATAATTATTGTGAGGAATAATTAACTGACATGTGATCAAACAGTCTCTTCACATATATTATTATTATTAAGGTGATCTGTGCAATTTTGTTATTCAGGAAGTTTGTATCAAATAAGTAGCCCTTCGTACTACTCGGTACCCTTGAAGTAGCTCTCAGTTTAAAAAAGGTTGGTGACCCCTGCTCTAGACTGTGGGGACACCGCATGTGATTCAGCCTCTTACACAAAGACAGCCGGTTTCAATTATAAACAAAGCATTTAATACCTCTGATGCTAAAACAATTGCATAGTGAAGTACATTATTTACAGTTACACAGAATATGACCTGCTCACCCCGAAAAACATTACCACCCACACAGTGGAACAGGAGCAAGAGGCCGGAAGTTCTTTCTCTCCCGCCTTACATAGTTCAAAAAACATCCCATAATGTCCGTAGTTCCTATTGGCTAAATCCAGCTGGCTCCTCCTCCTCGCAGGACCCTCGCACAGGTATGACCTGTAATTGCCTGTCTAGAAATCTATCTGTCCCTTACTCCCAACATACTATTCTTTACAGTTTAATACATTCAATGACTGTCTTTTATGGCTTAACACTTCTATGATAAACATTCTATATAAAGATAAGGATTTTTGGCAAAAACTTCACAAGCATAGATATAAAGTTGCTACAAATTCTAAGATACACTTCTAACTACAAATCACTTCTAACTACAAATTCTAAAACACTTCTACAATTATGAATCTTCTAATTATGTATTCCAAAACACTTCTAATTATGATTTCTTAATTATGAATCATTAAACACTTCTATTATAATTTCTTAAAACACAGTTCTAAACCCAAATTTCCTACAGGGTGCGTCAGTTCACCAGTCCTGTTCACCCTGTACACTAATGAATGCACATGTAGCACTGCTAACAATTGCATGATCAAGTGTTGTGATGATACAGCCATCCTGGGTCTCATGTCTGACACATCGGATACAGCTGTGTACAGACATGAGATTCAGAACTTTGTCCAGTGGTGCGACAAACACTTCCTCATCCTCAACGTCAGGAAAACAGAGGAGATGGTATTTGACCCCAAATACATTGGAGACCACTCACCAGTGGTTATCCATGAGCAGAACATTGCACAGGTTGACTCCTACAGGTACCCGGGCATACATATTGACAATAAACTGACATGGAGTGTTCAGGTAGAAAATGTCTGCACTAGGGTCCAACAGCTGCTACACTTCCTCCGCAGGCTGAGGGTCTTTGGTGTCAACCAGAAAGTCTTGCTCCTCTTCTACCGCGCCATCGTTGAGAGCGTCCTGCGGTTTGGCACCTCAGTGTGCAGCTGAAAACCCAGATCACCGGCTAACACGAAGAGCCATGAAGATCATCATCACTACTGATACTACTACAGATACTTCAGACACTACTGATACTAAATATACTACATATCGATGGCTGTAGAGCAAAACCTATCTGAAAAATGCCTGGATCATTTTGCAGATAGGATCTTTTGCACTTGGTGCAAATTGGAAGAGGTTCTACAAAATTATGCTCTAAATTAAGTTTCAACAAAGGGCGGGATTATTTTAAGACAGACTGAATATGAACAGCCTTCCTTGTTCTCATCATCCAAAGTGAAATCCGGCAATCAGAAAATTCTGCAGATAGGTTTTGCGCTTTGGCCCTCGAAATGCTACCAATACTACATATAGTACATCTGATAATACAGATACTACTGGTACTACCACTGATACTACAAATACTACTGATACTACCACTGATACTATACTACAGATACTCCTACAGATACTCCTGATACTACTACTGATAGTCAAGGACTGACTTTTTTCACCAAGTAACATTTAATAAATCAGGCACTTCCTGTCTCAAAGCGAGTTCATGCATTTGTTACCTCTAGACTAGATTACTGTGATTCCTTATTTTCAGGATGCTCTAATAAGTCTCTTAAATCTCCAGCTGATTCAGAATGCTGCAGCTCGTGTACTAACAAGAACTAAGAGAAGAGATCATATTACTCCTGTATGAGCTTCTCTGCACTGGCTCCCTGTAAAATCGGGAATATAATTTAAAATCCTTCTCCTCACCTACAAAGCCCTGATTGGTCAGACACCATCATATTTTAAAGAGCTTATATAACCATATCATCCTATGAGAGAGCTGTGCTCCCTGAATTCAGGGTTACTTGTGGTTCCTAGTGTCTTAAAAAGTAGAACAGGAACCAGAAACTTCAGTTATCAAGCTCCTCTTCTGTGGAACCAGCTTCCAGTTTCAGTCCGGGGGGCAGACACACTCACCACATCTAAGAGTAGGCTTAAGACTTTCCTTTTTGATAACTCTTATAGTTAGGGCCGGCTCAGGTTTATAGTTAGGGCCGGCTCAGGTT